ACGAACATCGATAGATGGCGAGACAAATCTAACGAGCATGATGAAGTTGCGAGATAAGAAACTTCACGAATTTTCGGCATTCAGTCGTTAGTTTGATTGACTACATTCTTAGAATGTGACCATTATAAATCGAGACTAAGAGTTGACACGTAATTACGTTGAATAATTGTTTTTTCTTAAAGTTCCCTCTGTTCATTTTGAACCTTAGTTGTATCCATAATTTGTTTAGCAAAACATGGATTTAAACGACGTTTGTTTTCAGTTACGATGTATAAGTCGATATTTTGACTAAACTTACGTTGATTTTCTGTAGGTCTAAAGACGGATAAAAACCGCTCACAAATGATAGAGGCGAGCACGTTACACATTATTCCCCTGAATAATTTAAAATCTGACTCCAGCTGTTCGAGGAATGATCATAATTGATTTCGATGTTACAGTACCAGATAATGAATGACTTTATGTAACAGTTGTTTCTTTCATGTTAATGTTTGTTGCATTACTTGGTGAAATGAACTTTCTGAAACGAATCGCTGGGCTTACGCGTCCTGAGGTGTTCAGAGCACAGATATTTGAGATAACCTCAGTTGCTTCTCTAAATTGAAGGGCCACATCTGCGATGGTTTGCGAATGCTTTCAAAAACGAGGGGGAAGTAGCTACTTTTTATTCAACCGGTCAGCCGAAGACCCCGGCGATGGCTAACAAAAATCTGGAGTAAGGTATCGCAGGACTATGCTTCAGACTCTGCTTATTTTTGCCGAACCTCAAACGCTGGAAGAGGATTGCTAACGTTGGAAACGCTGTCTGACACCCCTACCTTTGCGACCTGAGAGGATGAACGGTTTTCGAAATTAACTGACTTATTGACTGACTAACATTGCTGCTATGAAGCAGTCTCAACCTTTGACGTTGCTGTAACTAAAATTGAATGTTTCAAATGTTTTACCAGATATTCAGAGTGGAACTGTTCTCTTTTAACTACTGATACAGAATTTAGACAGTTAAAACCGCAAAGTTACTTTACAGCGACAGCGTGGTACTTTAAGGTAGATGAAAGTAATTAAATCAGGTTGTTTCGCAGCATTGCTCTGCCTCGTTGCTTGTAATCGCGTTAGGGCCCATTTAAACATGCCACGGTTTTATCAGTTTTTTCTCCTAGTAAACTTAATCAAGCGTTTCATTACCCTCTCTACGATTAAGAACAGTTTTGGAACGTTACCAGGAATTTCAGCACAATGATGGAGCATACTCATAAACCACTAGGTTTTTCATTAGGTCAGATAGAGTACTCCTAGTTTGTTTGTAGAGTTTGTTTTCTAGCGTTTGATCTCTTATGTTTACGATTTCAAGATTCTCGTTTTTTCGCAACTTATTCATCAATAGGCGATCTGGTAACAGAATTGGTTTCGTTTTTCTCCATAAAGTGTGTAGTTTTGTAGATGCTTTAATAAGTAATTCTTTTCTTTGATAAACGTTTCCCGTAGGAGATTTCGTAGTGTTCCTATTTCGGCTTTTAAAGTTTCTTGATTATTGCAGAAGGCGTTGGTTTTGTACCTCGTCTCACAGCGTTGGCAAATATTGAAGGAGAAATGGTTGACTTAGGCTAAGGAACCACGTTGATTTCTGATTTTAAACTAATAATCTATGTGCGCTGTTGTGCTGATTTTTTACAATCATGGGTTCAAAACTAGCTGAAGTTGCTTTACCGTGAGGAGTGAACCATCAGAATCTTTACACAAGGTTGTCCAGCAAAACCGCTCCACTTCCTTGCGTCTAGAAGCCTAGTCAGCGCTTAAACTTAAGTACACAGGACAGCAAGCGATTCTCTTCATGATGAAACATAAAAGGTTGCCATTTGACAAGCCATTATCCAGCTTTTCGATATACAGTCTCATTTATTTTGCCAAAGTATACAGTATCGGGTTGAAATAGACTAAACCTGGCAACCATGACTAAGTGATAAAGAAAGAAGGCTGAAACGCTTGCTTAGGATCAGTAGCTTATACACGACTCCACCGAGAAACCAGTGAGCTCCCGCATCTGTGTGTTAAAAGACCATCAGCAACAAGGAAGAGTTTTATTGAAGTTGTTACACAGACGATTCTCTACTGCTTCAGACCACCGCGGAATACGATGACGATGGAGCTAAATATCTTTGAGTGCATATTCATATTTTTGAAGCCTTGTCCGAAGGCAACGTTCACATGTATTAATTAGTGAAACCCAAAGCTAGTAAAAATAT